GGAGGGGGGGACGGATAAGTTAATAATGAAGCCCCCGGGCGGAGTTCTCGGAAGAGCGGCGAGGAGGAGGCGGAGGCGCACCCCTCTGTATATGCTCCGAGGGGCGTAAGTGTTGTTTGTGGGAGCGGACACACCATACGCATAGCACAGACGCGCCGGGCCGGGTGGGCTCTTCTGCGGGCTCGGATCGGCTCCGCCACGCGGTTTGACGACCCCGCCTCTCCCTCCTCTCTAAGCGCAGTTTTGATAGGAGGGAGGGGGGGGCGAAGGAGTATAAGTATGGAGGAAACCCAAAGTACATGGCCTGCCTCATGCGTGACAGAATTCAGCGTTGTTGGTTATTACTATCATTGAACAGAGCACCTTCTCAGTAATGTTTTTTTCTTCTTCTGGAAACCGCAAAACTGAGAACAACGCGTCAAAGTTGAGGCTGCCTATCGCCTAGGAGGAGCCGATAGCCGAGTCGCCATACCGTCGCGACTGGTGCGGTCGATCAGGGAGGGGCCATTGGGCTCGTGGAAGAAAACGGACTGGTGCTATAGTTTTTGGTAAAACAATAAAAAATATGGCTTAACTTTAATTAATCCTATATGTACAAATCGTAACACGTATGGCTTGTCTACAAGTAATAAAAATAGTTGTGATGGTATATTAAATAGAAAAATAATGTTTGCTAAATAAAATCACATCTTAAACAGTCCACAGGTTGCAGTTTTCAGTTTAAACAATAACAGATAGTTAGGAGACAAAGTACTAAGTATTGTACTTGTCTGCCTTAGGAATCACAATAGCATATAAATGTTTGCACCTCACCCAACAAGTCTCATTCACGCATAAATACACAGTCACACACGAATTTATCGTTTACAGTTTGTTTGGGGTTTCCCCTATATAACTTAAAATCATTTTAAATAAAATATCTAACATAACGAAATTTCACTTGAGTATTTCATCAGACTTTTCTCGGTTGCCCCGTTTTCCACGGGCGCAGCGAGATCGTTTGGCGGGACGGGTTGCGCACCCGCCCGAGCATATGAAACAACAAAAAACAGCAATGACGGCGCGAGCGCATCACGCATTATACACAAAATAACTAACAAGTGACAGTCGCGGTAATAAATAAATAACAACGTTAGCAAACGCACTGGAACGCGGGGGCGATGACGATACAGCGTGACGGTCGAGACGTCGTCGTCACGGCGGCACCGTCCCCAACAACGAGTCTCTCTCACGTCTCTTCTCTTTCCACGCGCACAACGACCATACTTGCGAGGTTGATAGTTGAACAGGACGTCCCCCCGAAACGCTGAGCTCGCCTCCTCCAACAATCACAAATTTCATCGGACGTCGAATCGACGTCGACGGGAGCATAGTATTTTGCCACGAAAATCTATGTGTAATTTCGGTATCGACGTCGTCGTCGTCGTCCTACGTAGAGCCTCAGGGCGCGAGGAAGCTCTCGAGCCAGTCGACATACATGGCCACGTCCGTGAACACGACGAAGTGGCTGGGGTCGCAGCGGTCCTGCTTGGTGCGCACCGACAGGCTGACGAGGCCGCGCAGCTGCCACACGGCCTCGTCGTCGGGCGCCTCCTCGTCGCGCTTGAAGAACATGCCGCCGCCGCTGTCGCCGTTGCAGACGCTCGTGCCGGCGGCCGGCTGGTCGGGCGAGTAGCCCGCGCAGTACGTCTTGTTGTTGGTGTACACGCCGAAGAAGGACGGGTAGCTGTAGACGCAGATGGCCGGCGAGACGACCGGCATCAGGGCCTGGTGCAGCTCCTCCGTGAGCAGGCCGTCCGTCTCGATGCCCCAGCCCACCACCTGTACGCCGGGCAGAACATCAGAGAATGCCGTCAAACACACATTTCTCGTCAGGATCACTTATAGCAGGAGGTTCGGGAGGACAGAAGGAGGGTCGCGAGGAGTCCGAGACTCAGACTGGCCGCCGCTGCCCGCTGAAATGAATTTAAAGTAGGCAGCAATTATGCGAATATGGACCCCAAGTTTGGCAGCTCAAAGTTTTACGATTTGACTTGGACGTCGTTATACACCACACAACAGTAGTCACGAATGCGTGTTATCTACTGCAAGCCCGACTCATAGAGCCAGCTGAGCACTTAACGCATGGCATTTTTTCGCATTACACTGTACCAAAGAATTTTTTAAGTGTGAAATGTTTCCGTAAAAGGTGGAAAATTTAAAAATATTTCCAGGAAAATTTTGAAACTTTTCTGGAAAAAATTCAGATAATAAAACAATGATTCTGAGAAATTTCCCGAGGATCCTCCGTAAAATTAAAAAAATTAAACCCCTAACTGGTATCGCGAGCAGGTGTGTTGAGAGGGTTTGTCTATCGTACCGCTTCACCTGGTGTTTACTGTATCCGCCTCGGCCAATGGAGAGTAAGAGAAACAACACGCCCTGAGGGTCAATCATTCTGAGAAAATTTCGAAAAAAAATAAATGTCTATTTCGTAATCTTTTTCACGTTCCCTGTCCTCCCTCCGCTCTGCCGTGCTCTGCCCTTGGGGTCCATACCTTGTCGCTATCGGTGTCTGGCTGGGCAAGATCCGTTCGCCAACCGACCACCTGCGTAACACACAATCACACCAAAGCTGTACATACTCTGATCGCCAGAGACTCTGCCCCGGGGGGCCGGGGGCCGGGGCGGGTGACAACCATGGCGTCACCTTGCATGACGTCTGGGACTCGCGTAGACGCACAGGAATACCCCACGCACTATCGCCCGGCAGAGCAGAGAGAGAGAAAGAGAAGCGGAGTTTGTTGTCTTACCGTGCCGAACTTGCCCTCGACGTGCGACAGCTCGGTGTGGTCCTTGTCCCAGAGGCAGACGGGGCGCACGGCCGCCGTGATGGCCGCCGGGCTGGACAGGATGAGCACGGCGATGTCGTTGCGGTAGTTGGTGTAGTTGTAGCCCGGGTGCACGTGGATGAAGTAGACCTGCGGCGGGAGGAATAAGGTAGAGGATTACAAGCGCCGCCGATATTGTCACAGTGTACGTCGGGGAGGTGTCGGCGCCGGCGCGCACAAGTTGGAGCGGGGCGGCCGGGCCTCGCCGCCGCCGCGCCTCCCGCGCTCCGCCCTCCGCCCAACTTGGCGGTAAAGACCCCCCCGAGGGCGGAGCAGGCGGAACACTCGGCCCCGTAATTCAGAGCAGGAAAACGCGGAACAGCCAGCAAGTGGCTGTCGGGCGCGGCCACCCAGACACAATTAAAGCTCGAGAGAGATATATCTTTTGGACTCAACGGTGCCGAGAGAGGGTGCCGGAGGTGGCTCCTCCTCGTACTGTCACTCACGTGCTTGTCCTGGACGCCGTCCTCGGAGGTGGTGCGCAGGGCGTGCTTGCCGAGGAACACGAGCAGCGACTCGGGCCCGACGGGCCGGCCCACGGTGGTGGTGACGCAGTGCGCGGCCGTGACCACGACGGTGGGGCTGATGAGCGAGCCGCCGCACTGGTACTTCCAGTCGCGGCCGTGCGGCTTGTAGAGCGCCACGTGCCACGGCCACTTGCCCGGGATGGAGGTCTCGCCGTTGATGATGAGCGGGGTGGCGGGCGGCGCGATGGTGCCGCAGGTGGAGCGCGTGGGTCGCGGCCTGGCGGCCGGCTCGGGGGCGGCGGGCCGGCCGCGCACCGGGTCGTCGTAGTTGGACGTCGGCCAGGGCTGCGGCACGGGCGTCATGTCCACGGGTGGCGGCGGCGTCGGCCTGCGGGGTCGGGTTAGGGTTAGACGTTTAATTTTCCGGCAACTTACTACAGAGAAAATTTGTGGGGGTTGGGGTGGGGGTGGGGGACCGGGGCTGGACACCACTCCACCGACGACGTACCTGCGCGTCGCACCCGGGCGAGCGGGCCGCGGCGGCGCCGCGGTGGTCCGGGGCGGCTGGTACGAGTCTCGGTCCGCGCTGGGGTTGTACTTGGAAGTGTAGACGGGCGCGGGCCGCTCCGTGGTGCTGGGCGGCCGGTAGACGCCCCTGTCCGGCTCGGGCGCGGGCGCGGGCGCGGGCCGGTAGATGTTCCTGTCGCGCTCGGCGTCCACGGGCGGCCGGTACATGCCCCGCTCGGGCTCCGTCTGGTTGGGCTGTGGCTGGTACGAGTCCTCCATGGGGGGCCGGGCCGGCCGCGAGTGCTGGTAACCGCCGCGCTCCTCCGTGTAGTTGTTGACGGGCTGGTAGGCGTCCTCGGCGGGCCGCTGGTACAGTGTGGGCTCGTTACTGGCCACCTGGAGGAAAGACGACAGTGAGCACCGGGACCTCGGTGGCCTCCAGGAAGTGCGTCCGTTTTTCTCGGATTCATTCGACAAGCTAACGCAAACACACAAGCTAAGCGCCTGCGAGACTCGGGGTAGGCCACCCCGCTGTACACGTATGCACTGCATGGACGATGTTGCCTACCCGCCAGGCGCTTTGAAAGCTTGAATGATCCCTTCTTGGCGTACTGCTCCGCACCGTCACTTACCGAGTTGGCGCCGCTGGACGAGTAGTAGTTGTCGGGGTTGGCGCCCGGCGGCGGCTCGTACGCGGGGCTGGGCTTGGGGGTCGTGGTGGTGGTGGTGGGCCTGGGGGGCGGCTGCGTGGGCCGCGCGGCGGCGGTTCTGGGGGGCGGTTGGGTGGGGGGTGCTGGGGCCGGGGGCGTGGCGCTGGGCCTCGGCTCATCCTGGTCCAGCTGCTGCTGTGCGGCGGCGATGCTGCCCGCACTGCCCCCGCTGCCCCCGCCGCCACCGCCGCCACCTCCGCCGCCACCGCCCCCACTGTTGCTCGCGGCCGCGCCGCCCCCAGCACCCCCGATTCCCGGTGGCCGGCTGATGCTGGTCGTGACTGACCTGGGCGGTGTCACCGGCGTGGTGAAAGGTCGGGACGCTGAATCGAGACAACAGGATGAGCTTAGCCCGCGTTAGTCAAAGAATCCTGCAGCGTGGGCATGGATTTACGGACTCGCACCCACCAGTGTCCTGCTCGAGGTCGGGGTTGCTGCTGCCGCAGATGGACCTGCCGTTGAGCTTGATGTTGGCGATGTATGGGATGTTGTCACGGTCGCCAAACGCAGCGAAGATCCTGACGGGGAGCGGCGGCCCGGGCGTCAGTCTCGTCTTGAGAGCGAGGATCGTGAACTCGACGTTGTCCGACGTGGTCACGTCGCCAAGAAAGTTCTGCGAATCACAAACAGAGTAATTAGAAAAGGCAAAACTTTTGATAAAAGGTGTTTTCTTTTTTGTAGGACCGTATATGAAAATATTTCTTTGTAATTTTAAAATAAACTTAACAGAAATTGTTTGGAATTTTCCTACAGCAAAGCATCAGTGTATGGGCACCAGGGCCCGCCTGGTCACTCACTCCGAGGATCTGGGCGCGATGTGTGAGGCGGACGTTGAGTCGGAGGCCGTCCAGGGTGTCGTCCGTGGTCACCAGAATGACGCCGTACCAGCGGTTCTTCTCCGGCTCGCGGCCCTCGTAGCTGAAGACGCTCGGGCACGGCGAGCTGGGGTGCGGGCCGCGCGTGGGCTTGGCGGCCAGCTGCGCCACGGCACCGGGACCCCCGCCGCCGCGGCCCCCGGGACCGACCCCGGCCAGCAGCAGCAACAGCGCCAGCACCATCTGGGACAGAATAGAGGCGGTCAGGTCTATAGGCTAGGCCTCGGTGGGCGCTCCCGCATCGCTTGAGGACGCGGCGCCGCGGCACGCCGGCGCACGTTGGGCTGCCTACTCTCACGGCGCATGGGCCGCGGCGGCAGACGCTTCTATCTAGGGATTTTTACTATTTTCCTGAAGAGTATCCTCGGTCAATTATTTTTCAATCCCTTAAAATTTTCTGGAAAGTTTAATTTCTTCGTAATTTTTCTGGAATTATGTTCCCCATTATTTCTGGTAAAGTTTCAGGAAAAAAAATAATATTTAAAAATTTCTGGACGCTTTGACAGGACTTACATCATTGACGTTCCGCAAAGGCGTGTGTGCCATCATGGTGGCCTGCTCTGCTCCGCTCCGCTTCTCTCTGGGTCCGGTCTACGACGTCGTGTTCCCGCTGGAATGAGACAGAAAAGAACAAATGAATCCCCCCGAGATGCAGTAGACGCCCCCGCCTTGTTCACCCCCTCTCCTTTTGCTTATCCAACCCCCCGCTCAGTCTTATTTATCTAAGCACTAATGACGCCCCCCCTCTCTCTCCCTCTCCCTCTCCCCCTCCCTCTCTCCCTCTCCTCCCTCCCTCTCTCGCCCTCCCGCCGGCCGGGCCCTTCCTGATGCGGATATCTGCCCGGGAAGCACGTTGTCCGGCCGAAACTGTTTTCCCGTCGCCCGCAGTCTGATAAAAGTGTTCCTCCCGCAGACCCTAACCGATTTCTCCCCGGTTTCGCTAAAAATAAAAGCGACGAAACCGGGATTTCCGCGGCAGGCCGCCCGGCCGTTCGCGTCCTCGCGGCCCCCTTCCCAACGCCGCGGCTCCTCCTCGCTCCCCCCTCTTTCGTATGGGAGATATTTCGCCTGCCGTTATTA